ACATACATCATTCAATTCAAGGACCAACGCCTTGACGAAGGGCACGCGTGCGAAACGACAGCACGCGTGCCCTCACGCTAATCCTAAACCAGCTCACTACTCCGGAATCAACTCGACCCGCGCCTAGGAGGACGACTGCAAAACCCGGACAGATTTAGGAAGACGCATCACGATGGCTTATTGTAAGCCTAGAGGCACCAATCAACGCAGGACTTGGCGTCCAGCACATCTATATATACGTGCCTACGCGCACCTCCACAATACACACACATAACCACTCTCTCACATCTCGTGCACCCATGCTCGTGCCCCCACAAGCTTACAGTTATGAGCCCGGATATCGCTTAATCCGTCAAATTATCTCACTCTGACCACCTATCTACCTCGAACGATCGAACGATTAAAGGATCACACCGACACCTCGACGTCCCTACAGTATCGCCTGCTATCGCCATCAAAGCTCCCTTGCACGTCTCTACGGCATCAATCGCCACCATCATGTCTTCCAAGACTTCAAATGTCATCCTCAAAGATCAATCAGACTGGGAACTTTGGATCTATATTGTCAAACAAATGGCTGAAGCCGGTGACGTCTGGCAGCACATGAACCCAGATTAACCCCATCGCCCGCTACAGAGGCCTACAAAGCCAACTCGACCTGTCGAATCCGAACCCGAATCGACTTCCACAACAACATCTACATCCACCATTCGGGCTACTCCAACGGCTGCTCAACAAACGCTGTACACGGCCGAGCTAGCTGAGTACAACGTAGATATTAAGGAATATCGAAGGCTCAAGGACAAGGTCGGCCAAGTGGAAACCCATATCACCAAATCGATTAATCCAAAATACTTATATTATATTAAGGACAAGGACAGCACGTACGAAAAGCTTAATACGCTATAACAGCTTTTATCGCCTACAGCTGTTGATCAAGAATATTGCGTTCAACAAGCCTACGAGCTCGCCAAAGCTTTCCATGCCCGATAATCAAATATTAAGGACTGGTGTAATTCCTTTCTCACCGCCTACAGAAGAGCTGAACAGCTCCAACTCCCGGAGGTCCACGGATTTCGAGCCCAGAAAGACTTCCTATAAGCAATTAAGCTCTTCAACTCTGCATACGCCGCAAATCTCTTATTAAAAGTCTTTTAAGCAGAGGAAGCCTGGAGCCGTAATTAAGATATACCTATTAATTAAACAGCCGATTAAACAGCTTAATTGCCGGCTATTATTGCTAAGTTCTTGCAATATTATTATACTATAAGATTAAGAAAGATTAATATCTATAGAGGAGCCTTTGCTATACTTAATAGCAAAGAATCTCTATATAATAACAAAGATAAGAAGAAGCTAAAAAAGCTCTGTATCTATAGTAATATTCACTTCTAGGAACAGTGCCTATATATTAACACTAATAACCGGAAAAAGGGATTTATTATTAACCCTAAAAAAGCTAAGAAAATTGCCGATTATAAAGCTAATAATAAAAAAGGAAGGCTAAATAAGATATAAGCAAAGAATTGTTAATTCTATAAGCTAAAAACGCGCTAAAATCTTTAACAGTCTTAACTAGAGGATAATAATAGTTCCGATTTAATTATAATTAATACAGAAAACCTACTAAATTAAGCCGATTCAACGCATACTGCTTATACTATCTTTTTATTAGCTTTTAGCCCTTATTAAAGCTATCTACTGCTCTACTTATAGATGCTTAATTTAGCTATAGATATCTATATCTATAATAACCTAAACAAGTTTTAATAGAAGGCTCCGGCCTCTCTAGATAATATTATCCTAGCAGAAGCTTTAGAAATACTAATTAAAGCTTAGGAAAAAGTTAAGATACCTCTAATAATACTATAAGGAATTAAAAATATAACTTTTAAGCATATAGCCTTAATTCCCTTATTTTTTATAAGTCTAGTATCTTTCTTACAACTTACCTTAATAAATATCTACTTTAATTCTAGCAAAAACCTGCTCTATAAGCTGTTAGGATTGTTATTAGGATTATTATTAGGATTATTTATAGAGCCTATTACTTATTTTATAAAGCTTAGAGGCTATTAGCTAGTTATATAGCAAGCTAATATATAAGCAAATTAGCACTTTACCTTTGCAGCTAATAGTCGGCGGCTATATTACTCTGCTTAACTAAGAAAGCTACTTAACCTTATAAAAGCTAAGCTCCACCTGCTTATAGGCTATACCGGACCCGAAGCTATTAATTACCTAGCTGATAATATAATTGGTATTAAGCTACCTAGCAGAACAGCTCTAATAATAATAGATTGCGCCGAATACTTATAAAATAAAGCTTATAAAATCATCTCTCGCTAATTAGAACACGAGCTCGGGGCTGCACAGCTATTTAAATCAATTGCTATTAATATTATTAAGCTTAATAACACGGGCTATAATAATTATTAATACGTCTTCCACGCAACCGATTTATATACAAAATTCAACTTTATATATATAATAGCTAAAAAGGACAAGCTAATACTATTAAGTATTATTAGGCAGCTTAATAGGGCTATTAAACGCAAATTTAATATTATAGTTATATTCTTAATAGCTAATAATAAGAAAGGCTATAGATTTCTTAAAGATTCGGTTTAAGCCTATTATATTTAAGAAGGAATTAGACTCTAAATCCGATTACTATATACTAAGGAGCAAAATAGCGCTGCAGAACGCTCTAGCCGAAGCCTTATTAATAAAGCTTATTCTATAAGAATCGCCTTAAATCTCCTACTTCCCCTTACTCTAGAGATATACATCGCTGCCGCATATCTCCTTAATTAAACGCTAACTAAGGCTATTACTTAGAAAACTTTATTTTAGCTTGCATATAAAAAGAAGCCGTTAATTGCCTACTTTAAAATCTATAGCTGCCGAGCCTATACGCTTTAAAAGCAAATTTTATAAGAAGATAAACTTTCTAAAAAAGCTTAAATTAGCTATTTTATTAGCTACAACTCTTCTAATATATATTAAGTTTAGATTCTAAATACTAATAGCAGAGCTTATAAAGGCAAAGTTATCTAAACCTAAGATATTACTTTTAAAGAAGATACCTTCTATTAAAGCAATACTATAAACGCTATAGATATATAGCTACAGGGTGAAAAGCTTAAAAAGATTATATAGTTGCTATATTAGCCCTTACTTTATAACCTAGAGGAATTATCTAAGGATAAATATAAGATATAAGTACTAATAGCCGAGCAAGTATTAAAAGCTCTATTAAAAGCTCCACCTTATCTACCTACTCCGGTATTATTAATATTACCTTAAATTAAGCTATTGCAGGCGCTATTATAGGAGCTATTAAGCTTGCTATTACAGGAGCTATTAAGCTTAAGCTTAAGCTCTAATTAGACACAGAAAAGAAAGCGCAATTCCGAAGATTCTAATTCTAATTTAAATATAGCTCTATAGCAAAAGCTTATTAACAGCACCCTAAGAGCTGCTTATATCCTTCTATAAGAATTAATAAAATTACAAGCGCCTAGTAAGAAAGCTTACTATAACTTAAGCTTTTTTATTTAGAAGTATTAGTCTATATATATAGCTGCCTTAAGCACAGCTGTTAAGATATAATTCTATTAAAGCCAGCTTCTAACTAAGCTAAAATACTATTAAGATATTATAAAGCTGCCCTCTCTATATAAAAAAGGCTTTTAATCGGCTATACAGCGCGAAATTAAGATAATTAAGCGCAAAGGAACCTACAGCTAGCTAGCTTAGAAGAACCTAGATGCTTAAAATAATAAAGTTCTACTATTAATCTGGGTATATAAATATAAACTTAATGCTAATAGATATTTTACTAAATATAAGGCTTGAATTTGCGTATAAGGAGACCTCTAAACAACAACTAAGGAAACCTATACAGCTATACTTGCAATTAAATGCTTCCGAGCTCTAATCGCAATAGCAGCTTATTTTAATATAGAAATACGACACTATAATACTGTTAACGCATTTATAAATACTTAATTGGAATTAAAAGTCTATTACTATCCACCTAAAGAATTCTCTAATCTAGATTACCTTTAGAAGCTTAACCGAGCACTCTATAGCTTAAAAACCTTACTATTACTCTAGTATTAAGAGCTTATAAAAACGCTTTAAGACTTTAGGCTATAAGAGATTAAAAACGCCCTATATATATAGAAAAATAATAAGCTAATTATCTTTTTCTATATTAATAATATTATTGTGCTTGCAAGGCTATTATATTAATCTGCTCTTAAAAGCTTTAAATAGAAGCTGCTCTATTACTATAAGATTAGATCTCTAGGAGAGCTTAGCATCTTCTGCAGGATTTAAATTAAACGCGATAGATAATATAGAGCTATATAGCTATTATAAAAAGCGTATTTTAACACGCTATTACAGAAATTTCTATTACTAAAGCCTATTCGCTTATCTATAATACTGCTGCTACTTAAAAAGCTTCTTCTATTAATAGAGCTAAAGAATAATGCTAATATCTATTGCTATGCATAGCTAACAGGCTCTATTAGATATATTACTGGCGTTATAAAACCCGACGTTTTAAAAGCTTACTTAAAGCTAGCCGAATTCTTAATTAATCTATTATAACGGCATCTTAACGCTGCCTATTAAACGCTCGCATATCTATAGGATATAAAAGCTCGAGCTCTTTACTATAATGCCTTAGTACCCGTTAATACTGCATATATTATTAATTCAGAAAAACCCGACTTCTTTAGAGCTACTAATTGTTACAACCCGTAATACGAACAACCCGAGCGCAGAGGCACTCGCGGAGACAAGCAAGCAGATAAGACTGATAACACAGAACCAGGTCACAGGACCAAGAGGGTCACGTGTAGGACGCATAGGGATCCTGGATTCCCCCACGGACTGCTGGTGGATGGGAACGATCTAAGAATGGGACATCACGAGAACAGGGTCACGTGATGGCTCGCCAGGCTCGCAACGGGAAGTAAGCATAGAGCCATGCGAGCGCTCGTCGAGCTCGAGACGCTCGAGGACTATGAGCCCGTAGAGCCATATGAGCAAGAGGTTTTCTTAGGACGGAGCTTTCATATAAGAGGACGCTCCTTTGCATAGATAGGAACCTT